TACATTTGGCTGGAAACAATGTAGGCTTGTCTTCTTCGTCAATTTCTATTTCTCTGTGAACTGAATCTACTTCTTTGTTGTTTTCCCGGTAGTCTTCTCTTTGATTGTCCTGGAGACTTTCTTGTCTCCAGTAGTTTTCACCAGTTGTATATTCATCATTTCCAATGTCGACTGCAAAGTGGTTTTCGATGCTCTCAGTTGACATCTCTTCTGGTTGGATGTGGTCTGATCTAGATAGCAGTCCGTCAATAACACGCACTAACAAGCTCTTTTTACGATCACGGTCTAACTTCTGTAGTCCTAGAATCATTTGCTTCCTTGTGCCCTCGCTTTGTGGATCTTCCTGAGATGATTTCTCAGTCTCAGTTTGTGATGAACTTTGATCAATCTCGTCTTCCTCGTCGTAAAATAAAACTTCAACAAATTTCTGCAGTACGCTTCTTTTCCTCCGACGATTTTCATGATCTTCTGTGTCTTGATGTCGTTTTTCCTCCTGGTCTGATTTTTCATTCGACGAAGTCACAAACATGTCAATGATTGAACGAGCAAGACTGTTTTTTCGTGAGCCTTATATAGAGAGAACAAAAAAAGAAGAAAAAATATTGCATTCATTAACCTCTGTTCATAGTTTCCCCAAACTCTCAGGGGAAAATCAACAATAAGTCTATAAAAAAATAGACTTCGCTACTCCTATAAAGCGTTTTCACTCGCGTGGAAACCAGCCATGCAAATGTGTTGGAATGAAGCAAAGCGTTTACATATGAGAAGAGTTCAACTCCCACAGGATTGGTTTGGTACACAAACATAGCCGCGGTTTCATTGTCTTGGGACACCTCTGTGGCTGGCCCTGAGGTGATGTCATGTGAAATTTGTTGGCCGATATGTATCGCATAAACAGAACCAAGAGAGGATGAAAGGTAAAGAGTTAATACCCCATATAGGCCTTATACTCAAGTCAGGCCCTCTCAAGATATTTTCAGATGTGACATCCAGTCCTCCCTCAGATGATGCTACCACGCACATTTCGTGGGCTGTCCACGTGAGTAAAATTCGCGTCACAGGATTAGCTATTTCTACACCCTTTTTGGGATTTCTGATGCCGGGAGGGATCTAAATATACCTCGACAGGGATTATCTCATGAATAACTAGTCTATGCAGGGTTAACTATGTTACCATTTATCCTCTCTTGGTAGAACCCGTGGTATTCTGGCTTGCCATGGTATTCTGGCTTGTAATGGTTGGCGGTTGTTTTCGTCGAGGATCTTTCTTTTTCTTCTATTTTTGCAGCCAATCAGATAGTGACTGGGTGTGAAGTGGTATTTCTCTTTCATCTCAGTATCGTAGCAGTCCTTTGTCGAAATTCTCATACATAGTTTCAAAAAAGTGGAAATAAGACTAAACTTGCAAAAAAAAACCCTCCAAAAATATTTCAAACAAAAATCTCACAATTTGGATAGAGCAGTGTGGTCCGTCACATCAAAAGCCGGAAGGGCCAACAATTTTCCTCGATAACGTTTAAATACAGTTTGGTGGGAGAACCAAAGTTTCATTATTGTTGATGGTTACCGTTTAACAATAAAAAAAACACCAATACAAACATAAATTGAACGCTTGAAATCCATGTTTACATGTTACCATCATTATGTTTAGACTTACTTTGGTTTTCCTCTTCAAACGCTAGCATGAATAATCCGCCAACACTCTAAAAGAAATGAAATCGTAAGCACAGTTTTAATGTTGTCAATACACGTTCACAGTACCAAACTTATTTTAATACTGAGGCACATTCTAAATGTAGCGTAGCTATACATAGCTCAGAAAGACCATATGGCTTCGGAGGTTAAGGCATATCCTAGCGATAGGAAAAGTCTGTATCACCTCGGGCCAAGTGTCTCATGCCGCAGCAGTATTTTTTGTACCCGTAGCATCAAGCCACTCTGAATATTTCGACTTTCTCTGGATGGGATGTTAGTTACGCCCTGCATTAAATTCGCCGTTACCCATTTATACACCTGGGTACAGAGAGACTGAATGTGAGAGTAAAGTGCTTTGCCCAAGACCAATCCTACACAAAAAAGTGACCCGAAAGGCTCGAACAAGGCTCGCTCAATTTGGATTCGAACGCAATAGTACTAAGCATCAAGCTAATGCGCCTCTCAAAATGTACCGTGCTTTTTGATTTGCATGCTAAAGCGTCGGCGCAGCTTTTTCACATTTGGTTAAGTCGGTTTATTTACCTTGATCCTTGAAGATGATCGATAATCTAGTAAGGCTGTCTTTACGTACCATATCAACATATGCGCTAGGTTTTCGTTCACGTGTCTTGCGAGGTTCTTTTGTCCCAATGTAGAAAATGGTTGCAAAAAGGACTCCTGTTCCAGTTGCAATCCAAGAGAGATACTGTAAGATAGAGAGGAGGTGCGAATAGCGACAAATTCAGAGACCGAAAGGTAACCACGACCAGAAGAAAGAGTTACATGGTAAGCGTGAGAACTACAAGAAGACTATTCATAATTGACCAGGGCGGATCTTAACTTAACACCGAGTTGTGACGTCCTACTAAATAAACTTAACTGGTAAACAAAGATTAAAATTACATTCAAGTTACCGAAAAAGAATGTGGATCATAACTTAATTAAACTGCGCGTACATCGAGTTTAGTATAAATTTACTAGCATTCTATCACGAATGCCGTTCTCTGATTGTCTACGTTACTCACTATCTATTCTGTGATAGATAGCGAGTAGCGTAGCGGTGTGCGCTTGTTAATAAAATGACGGCCGCTTCTTGGCGTTTTCGAAGTGTCTGTGAAGAGGATTTAGATTAAGTCTTGAACGACTAGTAGATTTATGCTAAAACAATTAGGTTGTTCGCTCTCGATTTCTATCGCGTGATAGCTGACGAGGGCGCAGCCCGAGTCAACTATCACGCGATAAAAATCTCGAGCTCAAAATCTAATTGTTTAATATAAAAGCGAAGCCTACATCTTGACTCTTACAATTCTGAGTGCTCTAGACACTCCGAGTCATTGTTAACTCTGAGAAAAGCACGCTTAACATGAACTAATTAAAAAAAAAAACTGACTTTCGCGGCCCATTATTTTACTAACCGCAAAATCTGATAGGTGTGTAGGCCCCAGGCTATCTCCACTGTCTTGTCCAAGGAGAGCCCATGCGATGATGTAAACATAAACACCACTTAAGAAGCTAAACATAGTCCTAGTTGACAAATCAAAAGAAAAGGAACTGATTACACATCAAGAGTGGTGCACTGTACGTACAACAGCACTTTGAACGCCAGAAAATGATTAGCTAAGTTGCCCCCGTGCAGAAATGTGCATGGTTTAATCAAACCTTTTTGCTTCGGTGCGCATTCCTTACTTGAATAGACCGTATCTGTGGCATAGATACGTTCAACTTTGAATAAATTCCAACCGCTTTAATATAGACATACTTTCCCTATAAAATAGATTCCAAGGTCACTGAGCATAAATGAAAAACCAGATGATTCTGCCGAGTGATTGTAAATGCCACGCTCATTAATGCATAGTAGCATAGTAACACAATTATAAAACCAAAGTTTCGAAAAGTTATTTGACACAAACCTTATGGCGACAAGGGCTGTAAATTCCGAGACTTTTTCAGCTACAGTGGTGACAAATGCCAAGTGATTTATCTCCACCACGTTAAAGCAGATGTTAACCAACGCCGAGAAGAAGCCAAAATAGACAAGTGGAAGCCAGCTTTGATCTCTTCCATCACACAAAAAGCACTTGTTAAACAAAAGGGGGATGCCGATTGCCATTAAAAATGTTGCAAGGAGATGCCAAGATTTTCGCCTGCCAATTTTGTTCGATAGGAAAGGAACATTGATATAGTCGCCAAGGTACCCAGTTAATAGAGAAATTAAGGCTTCTGATATTTCTCCAATGAGCACTAATAGCCCGGCTTCTGATGCTGAAAGTTCCAGCACTTTCATGAAGAATACGATTTCGAATGAGAATAAAAGTTGTGTATATATGTCATTGAACACATTTCCAACTGCACAAGATAACCGTTCCCTTGCCCTCATTTTTCCAGAACGTTTGCTGCTTCTTGGTCTCTGAAAAAATCGTGCATTTAGCCGGGAATATACCTGGAAAAAACTTCTAATCTTTTAAACTATGACCACAGTTCAAGAGAGGTAAAGATCAAATCGATGTATGCCGTAGTGCTCGCTGGGAGAAATTATCTCTGTCTGTACTTACAAGATCAGGACAACTAATCCAGTGGTTCCAAGCAAGGCTATTTTCTGATCTGGCTCCTAAATCTGATTGCGACTATACCGAAATTTCTTGAAGTGTAAACGTAAAGACTAGTACTTCGATGATATTTCTGATTATCAACGTCTTTCTTTGAGTCGTTCTCTAACCGGTTCCTCCACACGTCACTGGACAAGACTACGTGAGCACGGCGACCAGCTCGGTCATGAGTGTGATTATGAAAAACGGAAGTTTGAATGACAATTCATCTTTATCTGTCTCACAATACTCGCCTGCAGGTATATTTGAGAAACTTCTAGAGAACGTTTGTTTTATGTCTTTGTTCCGCTTCAATTAACAAAATAGTGAGTCTTCATTAAGTTCTTCTAAAGAAATACAAACCACAAGAATCGGAAATTTGGAAAAGACACGTTCAAACTGACTGTAAAACTTGGAACAGTTGTCAGAGTGAAGTGAGACAAAATTAAAATTTGTCTTGTTGGGTTTTATTCGAAAGTATTAACATGTCTAGTGTAAATAGAGAGGAACAATTCAAGCGCTCAGACGATGGAAAGTAGACGATCATGCAGTACCCAAAACGAGATTTAGTTCGTAACTACTTCCACGTCTAACGCAAACTGAGAGAGGAACTAGCAATTAACTCACAATTATCATCATTTCACAAGAAATTAGACATGCGGTCTCCCGTTGACCCTTGATGCATATTCACAATAAATGATTTTCAAAGCACGTCGAGAGTTTTCATTGATGAACACAAGGGAGGCATACATTTCAAGTTTGGAAAGAACTTAAGGTTTTGATCCGCCTAGATAAACTTAGCTGAATATGTTCTTTCAAGAAACCTAGTTGTGACCACCAAGAATTAGAACTGGCAATATCCAGGAGATGACTTTGCATAAGGTACATGGACTGGAGGGGCGAACTGCATTCTTTTAAAAGTAGTATACTATGTTGGGAATTAAGCCTGATTTCGGCCTTCCCCTGCCTTCCCCTGCCTTCCCCTGCCTTCCTTGCCTTCCCCCTGCCTTCCCCTGCCTTCCCCTGCCTTCCCCTGCCTTCCCCTGCCTTCCCCTGCCTTCC